TTACTACGCCAACAGTGTTGGTGGCCACACATGCACAAGGATTTGTTGAACTTTGTACGCACCTGTCAATTGTGTGCACTCACTAAATCTCGGGGGGGGGGACGCCTGGACTGCTGAAACCTTTGCCAACCCCGGGAAGGCCTTGGGACGTTATTTCTATGGATTTTATTACTGACTTGCCTTCCAGCAAAGGAAAAACTGTGATTTGGGTGGTGGTTGATTTGTTTTCAAAACAAGCACATTTCATTCCATTCTCTTCGCTACCCACGGCCCGAATGTTAGCTAAGGCATTTCTAACTCACATTGTACGCATACATATGTTGCCCTCAAAGGTGGTTTCGGATAGGGGGACCCAATTTGTTTCGAAATTCTGGAAAGAACTCATGAACATTATGGGGGTGGAGCAGGAACTAAGCAGTTCCTACCACCCAGAAACTGACGGACAAACCGAACGGGTTAACCAAACCCTGGAACAATATCTAAGGTGTTTTACCAACTATCAACAAACTGACTGGTGTGAGCTACTTCCGTTGGCTGAGTATTGCTACAATAATACCCTACATAGCTCCATTGGGATGTCACCGTTTAAGGCGGTATCGGGCTATGACAGCCCCCCCTTTGCCTTTCTTAGGGGAAGGAAAACCGTTACAACCTGGAGATGCTGGCGATTGGTGTAAATCTTTGCAGGAGACTTGGCCTTTACTATGTCAAACGTTGGACACTGCCAAGGCCGCCTACAAGGCACAGGCTGATAGAGTAAGGGCGGTGGGTTGGGCTCTACGGCCTGGAGACTTTATGTATCAACTAAAAATATCAAAATGTTGCGGCCTAGCCGGAAATTAGGATAGAAATTTATTGGTCCATTTAAAGTGCGTAAAATCATCAATGATGTCGCTGTGGATGTGGAGTTGCCTAAGAACTTGCGTTCCTTACATTCTGTATTTCATTTCAGCCTCCTCAAAAGGGACACTGGTGATTCTCCATGGAGGCCGGGACGGGCCACACCCCCTCCGGTTTTGGTGGAGGGCGAGGAACATTATGAAATTGCTAACATTTTGGACTCTAAGATGAAACGTGGAAAACTGTGGTATTTGATTGAATGGGTAGATTTCAGACCCCAGCACCGGGAATGGGTGGAAGTAGGGGATATTAGGGCCCCTTATATGCTCAGAGACTACCACAAACGGTTCCCGTACAAACCGGGAGGTCTCCCGCCTAAACCGGGAGATGATGGGTGAGGTGTATTTTTGGGAGGGCAGTATGTCAGCAAGCTGCCATGGAGTTCTGTGTAACATTTTATGTTCCCAGCTAGCATTCATTCCAACCCCCCTCCTGCATCAGCGAGTGTATCCATGTTGCTTCTGCTGTGCTCATTAGGTACATTCCTTCCATGTCTGCTAGGCTTTGAAACTTAGATAATGCCCAAGGTCAAGTGCTGGAGGTTGGACTGAGTTTTGGCGTTGCTTGGATTATTATGTGCTGTAGCTTGAGAACCGAATTATTGTTTATGTTCAGGACCGTTTGTTTCCCAGGGGTTTGGGCGCCGGTTTTACCTGCTTTCCCGCACGTGGGAAAAAGACCCATTGGCCATGGCCTGGTTTGATTTTGCTTATTATCTTGTACCCCAGAGGTAACTTCCATTCGTAACAATCCTTGTGTTCCTGTTTCACCTTTGCTTTAATAAATGCTACTTTGTTTCAAACGTGGATTTATCTGAATGCTTGGAGAATCGGACACAGAGGCGGCACTCAGAGCCCTCTCTGTGGGCATGCGTGCCATTGCCCCAGACCGTCATTAAAGTGTGGAATTCTCTGCCTCAGTATTTAGGTTAAATTGCCGTGTTAGCACTTTGCAATAAATAAGTGGGTTTTAGGTTTGGGCACTCAGTCTCTAAAAGGTTTGTCATCATTGCCCTAGGTACTGCCTCAGAAAGAGGGGGAGGAGAAAGGAGGGCTGACCAGGAAAGGAAATAAAAAATAAAAGGAAGTGTGTGTGTGGGGGGGATTCTTTGAAATCACAGGTGCTGGAGAGAGCCCAGCCAGCAACACCTAAGTACCCTGCAGGCAAGGCTGCGGCCTGTGAGTGAAGCCCCTCCCCTCCAGGCATCGCAAAGGTCAGGGACCCTGACTGCCTAGGGGAGGAGCTTCTGCCAGAATTAGAGACTGCAATTTACACAAACACCCAGATCACATGAAAATGAGCAGAGGCACAAAATGGGTTGAGTGTGTCAAGTGGCTCTTAATACAGATCTGAGGCACATCTAAAAAACAGGCAACACCACCAAATTTGGCTTTAATGGACTCTGAACAAAAGCACCCTATGGTGCTTCCCATTCCTTTCAGCCCGCCAGGCAGCTGTATTTCTTGACGGGCAATTTGGGACAGCCTTGGATGGACTTGGGATGGTTTTTATGTTTCAATGAATGAACAAAGATCAGAGGACTTGGACTGAATACAGCTTCTCAGGGGTCGTCCAGTAAGATAACATCACACCAGCAATACAGTGAAGCCAGCGGCCTGCTTGCATTCTTCATACGATGAACGAGAGATCGGACCTTCATATCGTGGCCTGAAGAATCTGATTTCCACCCTTCTGTCTTTTGAAAATCTCTGACCTGGATAGCCCAGACTGGCTCAATCTCAGAAGCAAGGTAAGCCCTGGCTACTATTTGGATGGAATGCCAGCGTCGTGAAGCACATGCGGGCAAGAGAAAACCATCTCTGATCGTCTCTTCCATTGAATACTTCACAGCGTCACTGTAAGTCAGCTGCGACTTGATGACAAACCTTTTTAAAGGTTGTAACATCCAGCATGAGGAAGAGCTCTGCAGTGCTCCAAAGCCGTCACAATGTTTTTGCCAATCTTTGGTGGAAGAATACCAAGACTTTTCTTATGGAACTCAGCCAAGCTCTTCCCAACAGTCATCATTTCAATATGGTGGCAGGTAGGTGAAAAGAGGCAGTTTGTCCCCTCAGAGTTCACCTTTTCTTTCACCCTTACAGACCTCCTCAGAACAAGAAGGAACTGGCTGTGGCAGGGAGGGGAAGGTTTTGAGGAACAAAAAAAGAACGTTCAGTAGTGTTATCTCTGAGAACACCAAGTAGAAGAACACAAATCGTAAGGTGAAGCTTTTTAGTTCCCAATGAAAGGAATTACATGGATTTTGTTCCTCTTTGGGGGGTGGCATGGACCACTATGGCTGTACAAGCATTTTTTTGTATCCTGGGAATGACATTTCTAATCCACCCAACCTTTAATTATTTGTTTTAAAAAGTGAATACCCTTCTTCCCCTATAATTTAAGGTGTTTCCCAGAAAGCCAAATCAAAAACACCCCACTAATGGTGTTTGTGCTTCACAGTGTAAGTAACTTGGGGGATGGAAGACAAAGCAGGATTTGCATTCCCTTGAAACTCTCAACCGTCCTCCAGAGACCCAGGCGCTTCGGGGGGGGCTTGTGCTCTTTCCCCAGTTGCTGGTGTAGCTCCTGATAAAGGGCAGCAACAATGGGTCGTCTGTGTGGCAGGTTCTCCCCCCCCCCAAGTTTCTCTGCTCCAGTACCCCAGCAGCCCCCACCACCTTCCACTGGGCCACCATGGCTTTTATAATCTTTTTTAAAAAATCAGCAGTAGCATATCATTATATTGATGCCATTGCTTGTGTATTTTCACAACAGAAAAGTCTAAAGACTGGCTTTTTAATGAAGGCTGGAAATTCAGAGAACCAGGTACAGACTGGTAAGATATCGTATCAACATAATGGTATAACAGGATCCTGGGAATTTTTTTTTTTAATTAAAAAGCCCCCTAGAGGTAAGGGGAGGAAATGCTCACCACGGGACAGGGTCAGGGAAACAGCAGCCACAGAGGTTGGGAAAAATCTGAATTTTCCCACCCACATAGCAGCCACCCACACTTCATTACAATCCTTCCCCAAACTTTAGTGGAAACTGGGTTTGAGAAAGCTGGGAATGCCCAGGAGGTGCATGAATGTGGTGGGGAAGCAGGGGAAAAACCCACTTCGCTAAAGTGTTGAACATGGGGCAGAAGCTAGAACTGACAGAAATATCCTTGGTACTTAATTCATGTCCCCTCCCTGCTTCTATAAAGCCAGTCGAATCCGACTCTAGGGTTGCGGTGCTCATCTCCGTTTCAAAGCCGAAGAGCCAGCGCTGTCCAAAGACGTTTCTGTGGTCATGTGGCCGGCATGACTAAACACCGAGGCGCACGGAACGCTGTTACCTTCCCACCAAAGTGGTACCTATTTATCTACTTGCAATTTCTTGCTTTTGAACTGCTAGGTTGGCAGGAGCTGGAACTAGAGACGGGAGCTCACTCCGTCATGCGGCACACTCGGGTCTCGAACTGCTGAACTACTGACCTTCCACAGCCTGCAGTTCAGCATCTTAACCACTTGAGCCACCGCAGCTCCACCCTGCTTCTATAGAAGCAACTTATTAACACTGTTGCAAAAATTAATGCCTGCTGAGATATCCTCAGTGGCAGTTTTAAAAGAACTGCAATATTACCAGCTGGGACCTCTTCTGGAGTTACCCATGTGGAGCTATCGAACAACTGGCAGAACTGCAATATTACCAGCTGGGACCTCTTTTGGAGTTACCCATGTGGAGCTATCGAACTACTGGCATGATCTACCCTGGGCTGGGAAAATGGATGCCTCAATAGCCACCTTTGGTGGAAGAATACCAAGACTTTTCTTATGGAACTATGCCAAGCTCTTCCCAACAGTCATCATTTCAATATGGCGGCAGGTAGGTGAAAGGAGGCAGTTTGTCCCCTCAGAGTTCACCTTTTCTTTCACCCTTACAGACCTCCTCAGAACAAGAAGGAACTGGCTGTGGTAGGGAGGGGAAGGTTCTGAGGAACAAAACAAGAACGTTCAGTAGTGTTATCTCTGAGAACACCAAGTAGAGGAACACAAATCGTAAGGTGAAGCTTTTTAGTTTAGAAATAATTGGTCTGTGTATGAAGAAAAATGTACCTTTCTGCAGGTGAATTCCAGAATCCAGAGTGTCTGAGGAAGCAAAAGAACAGAAAGTGAGCAACAAACCCTTGTGCTTATCACAATCTTGGGAATAAAATATCAGTTAATAATACTATCTGTTCTCTCTTGGGGAGGACAGGCGGCATGGTCAGATCTCAGAAGCTAAGGTGGGTACGGACTTGGATGGGTGACCAAAGAAAACTCTGCAGAGGACGTAAAACCAGCACACCGTCTCTGTTTCTCACTTGCCTTGAACACCTCTTGCTGGGGTTGCCATAAGTCACTTGTGACTTCACGGTACATAGGTTAAGTAGAAGCTACTTCTGGGGGGAAATTATGTGGAAACATGCACATTCATTTTCACAAGTCACTTTGCGTTACTTGAGTTCCACTACATAGGAAGTATGCGAAGGACAGAGACCCAAGGGTCCGACCCGGCTAAACCTAGGGTGCTTCCAAAGAGAGGTTCTGCAGTGCCATCCTAAGCAGAGTTCCACCCTTCTAAACACACTGATTTTTAATGGGCTTAGAAGGGCATAACTCTACTTAAGACAGCACAGTTGATTTCCTTGAGACTAGGACATATTCAACCAAACACACATACACAATCAAAGGGACCAGTACTGATCAGTCCAATTTGGCCACAGACACATTGCAAAGAGAACAGGGGTGTGGTGGAGGTGTCCCTGAAATGGATCGGGTGAGGGTCTCCATTAAATGAGGATCCCCTGAAGGGCAGTTTCTTTCCCCTTTCTTATCATTTTAGGGGCTTGCTTGACCATCTCCCTCCCAATTTGCCCTTGCATGGTTCACAGTAATGACTAAAGATCAGCAACGTGGAATAATGCCAGCAACACAGAATAATTTTGAGAAATCCATATAATGCAATTCTGAGCGAAAGCTACAGGAGAGTTCTGAGCAGAAAACTTTACATGGGGAACTAAAATGGCCTTCTGAATTGATACATAAATTTTCCACGTTCCTGCTAATGAAATAGGTAGCTTGGGGTGGAGTAAATCACACCTGGCCCACTCTAATGTCCAGTCTGAAACTCCTGCAGCCTTTCCTCATTACCTTTGAGTTGCTTCTCGATGCCCTCCAAAAGGGGATTTAAATCCGAGCTGTCCCAGATGCGCCACTTCGGTGCCAGAGAAGCCACGGGATTCTCAAATGACACCTTTTCTTCGTACCTGGAGAAAATCCCATTAAGGTGCCATCCATCCAGTTCAGAATTTCCCCCACCCCCCAGTGGATCAGAAGAGCAGAGGAATGAACTGGCAGAAAGCCTAGAGACACAGGCTGATGCTGAAACCAGATACGTAAAGAAAACATGTCACATGACATCAATGCACTGCCTGTACTTTTCTTCCTTTTAATCATTGGCCCCTTGGGGGGGGGGGTATGGAATTTGAGCCCAATAATGTCACATAACAATTCTTCATCTAAATCTCTCTATGGAGTGGTATAGAAAAAATACAATGTTTCTGATCAACAGCTGTATATTCCCCATAATGGGTTGCTCTGCTTGAGAACACTTTCGGAAGCCCTCCTGTTCCTGTGGCTGCCAATGCAGCACAGCGGCACATGGCTTCCTGACAGTGGGTTTCCTCACCCCAGTCGCCATGGCGAAAATTCAGATTTTTCCCATATGGCTGCGGTTTCCCTGACCCTGTCCTGTGGTGAGCATTTCCTCCCCTCACCTCTAGGGGGCTTTTTAATTTTAAAAAAAAATGTATTTCCCAGGAACCTGTTATATCATTATGTTGATATGATATCTTATGTTGATATGATATCTTACCAGTCTGTATTCCAGACATGGCAGCCATTCCCCTACTTTGCCTGGGGGGGAGGGGGCTTTTCTTAAATGGTACTTGACATTATGCTAAGATGCCGATGGCTGAAGGGGGGGGGGATCAAAAAGACACCCTGGTGGCATTTGGTGGCCATTGCCACTTCCCCAGAGCATTGGATGGAGGCCAAATTGCCAGTGTGGAAAAGGCCAGTAAAATGCCACTGTAGCCAGCTCCGATGCCAACCAAGGCAATATTTGGGCAAAGTAAAGTTTACCACCTCCCAATTTGTAGAATGAACATAGCTGAGGAGACCTGAACTCTGTATTTCCTGGGCTATTTTGTAAAAAAGTTGCTTTGGCAGCAGCTGCTACTACAACACATGGATCTTCACTGTGACTGAAGGTAAGCTGTGGCGGCCATTTTGTGACTGGCTCTGGCTACTGCGGCAGCCATTTTGGGGCTATGCCCACCACACCACGTCAGAAGTCCAAAGGTCAATAAGGAAGTATAAGGGGGACCACAATGGAACTGATCAACAGAATATAAGTAGCACACCGTGAATTCTTAACAAATACTAAATATGTTATAATAACTCATATGAAATGCTTGTGACTACAATATATAAATTATATAAACCTTATACACAACTACTCATAGATATGTTCTCTGGGAGTAAGCAGCAAGAACAGCTGTAGGCACTGCGAGAAGGGTAGTCACCATATGCCACTGAAATAATTCTACACGCAGGCTTTGGTTCTAGACCGCAGAATTTGAATAACTTTGTGGAGCTGCATCTGGATCTGTCGCTGCCACCAGATGCTGCTAGCTGCCCCCTTCGTCGCATGCCATCAGCTGTCCATGAGAGAAGAGACTCTCCTGCTGA